ACACATGGCACGGTTCACTTACAACACAAACCGCGCCTTATACGGTATGGCCTTTACGCAGGACGTATTTATAAGGCTTAAATATAGGTTGCTTTCAAAACAGCGCCATATGTTCGTGATTGTCGCTTGACCAAACTCTCCTAAAGTCTCACAACTTGAATTGAATTGAAAAAAAATCGCAGAATGTGCGCACACGCAGTTCAATAATCAAAACACCTACATTATATACATCTGTACACATATGTTAAGTCTTACTAATTTATATTAATTATTCATTTTCAGTTAACAATTGTGAGTTCGTTTGAAAACTTTAATATTTTTTCATGCATATTTTGTCATTTTATAAATATTTTGTTTTTATAGTCTGTGTCAAATATAGAAGAAGTTTAAAATTTTCTATTGATCGATTCATATTGTGCTCAAGCGCACACCTTGTACGTAGTTTTTACACATATAAGATTCTCGTAGCCTTATAATTCAATAGGAATTAGCCTTATGGTCCAATTTGAAGGCTAAACTTATTATGTTGAATTGTAACTAGGAATTAATACACGTGTTGTACCTGTGTGGTCTATGAAATACGAGAAGCTTGTGTAAGAGAAACTGGAACCTTTGCTGATGTCAGTATAGGAATGGTTTTGGTATTTTATTTTATTTAGTTCGAAGGCAAAGTTTTACGTAGTATAAAAAACATAGATACGCAACTTTCGCTTGTAAGGAAATTGGATAAATAGATAAACAATGCCAGTTCCCACGCCTTTGGTTAATAGATGTCGAGAATCTGTATTAAGTTACAAAGTGCAATCCAATTGTTTACTGGACATGAGGTAAAAATCTAGTTCCTCGTTGTTTTTTAATATAAATAATTTGTATTAACGTAATATTGGGCTATGCTAAAATTGTTCCTTTGAGGCTCTTAATATCATCTTTAAAACAGTATTACGTAATTCAATCAACATGACGACCCCTATTCCTGTTTCCTTACTGATCAATGCTATTGCTGATAATGATAACTCACAGGGCCAATCTATTAATAAACTTGTAGATATCTACTAGGGCATGGCAGGTAACAAAATAAAATATACTTTATTCTCTATAAATTTTTAAAATTATTTAGATTCGTCAAAATGTCTTTTTGTTTGTCTGTCTGTTCGTCGTGATTCTACAGAGTGTTCAAAAGAGCAAAATAACTGAGAACACCCAAGAAACTCAGTCCGGCTTTTTTAAATATGTCTTATAAACTAATTTTCCTTTTTCGTAAATTTATTACCAGGAGCAATTCATATTACTGCCAGGCATACAACACATACGTTTTATATCATTATACATTTTTAATGGAAGCTTATTATTTTTCAGTAATAATTAATTACTACTATCGCTGTTACATACCATAACTATTTATAAATGTGAAGTTATTAAACATTTAATCATAGACATATTATAATATAGAACCATGCTGATTCCTGCCTTTTCGGCTTTTGATTGTGACACATATATGTTATGTCTATATATTTTATATTGTATGTTATCTATAAAATTAAATGTCGGCACTGGTTATCAAATTAGCTAGTTGACATTGCGTCATTCTTATTTCTGTCTAACGGTTGTATTTTAACTGACACACAATTGTAGGTACGACTATACAAGGGTAAAAACGTAGAGGTGGGTTACCTGGAAATTCGAGCTTACAAAGCTCCTATTGTTAAGTACACGGGTTACCTATTTATTTATGAGTAATGGCGGTTTTTAGGTACTACACTGGACAATGGAAGTCTTTCAATGCAGTTATAACTGTTTTAAAAAACAATATTTAATTATTTTTAAAAAGTTACAGTTCCCCCAATATGGCAACCTAATGGAATACCCTATTAGTATCTAGTAACCTAGGTTTTTTTTTCAAATCAAACACTTTAACGGTTTTAAAACGCGATATACAATTAGTTAAAGTTATTAGAAACTACGACGGACGTTTCGGATGTCCCTCCGCGACTGCGGCTGCTGCAAAGCATTGGCCACGGTCAATTAAGTTTAATTATTATATGTCGCGTTTGAAACCGTTAAAGTCTTTATTTAAAGCCAGCGCGTAAAATACAGACAGTATTTAATCTATGTCTATTGAACAATAATCAATAGGATCTACACGTAACACCAAGCACCTTACCGCAACGTAACGCGTTAAGTTGTACGCGATAAGTGTCAGCCAGCTAAATAGAATTCACTTATCAAGAAACTATTTCCTGCGTCTCGGAACGCAAATTAGACAACGCGTGGAATATAAATGACCGTCGAAATATTTGAGTGTTATCGGCCAAGTACATCGACACGTCTTAGGGACCAACTGTGGCTCGTACATCCGTTACGGATGAAATAATTAACAGTGTTATCAAGTAGGTCTAAAACACGTATGTAATATGTGTGTACCCGTATAAAAACGTTAAAAAAACCCGTAAAAAAAGTAAAGTTTGTTTCGAAATTTTCTTAGTAGGTATAAAATAATACACTTTTTTAAATGCAATATCAAAAACTGGAAATCAACATTCTTTTTGGGCTCTGCCGTCTGATTTAACTTTTTGATAGTGAGTTTAATTGATAGTACATAAGGCTAATTCTTGTAATGAAAGCTTTTTTTCGAAAAATTAATTCTAAAACGATATCAAATCGTAAGTTTTTCCTTTACATACAAAATATTAATAATGAATAATATCTATAAGTACTTTTAAATACGTCACCCCTTTACAATATCTACTGTGCTAAGCATATAATTAAAAAACAATTATAATTTAATTTTCATTTACGTTATGATAAGTACTAAATCTTTAAAATAAAAGACTTAAACGGTTTAAAACGCCATATATATTAGTGAAACTTACTTGGAAATTATTTTATTTATGGCCAGTAATTTCGGATTCTTTGCAGCATATATCGCGTTTTAAACAGTTAAAATGTTTTATTCAAATGTGTACTACTCGGTAAACTATAAACGTATTTAAGTACAAAGTCTTTCTTTCTGAGATACAATTTTTGAAGTCAAGGGGCGATTAATTAAGCGTATTTCCTTATAATGAATTCGTTATTCGAAATCTGACCAATGAAGCGTACATTTTTGGACACAGCATGACCCTCTGTATCGTTCGCAATCTCATACTTGCCAGCTGGCTGACTCATTTGAATCCTTTGCGAATTACGTCACCTCACGACTTATACAATGCCTCATCTTTCTTGCGAAATGTAAAAACTAACTTGGTTGGTAACCAAGAAAATTATTAATACGTATATATATCCTGTTTTCGAATATAATTTTTTCAAAAGCTTCTTTGATCAACATTTAAAATTGATCATTTACGCTTTGACACTTATCTATATCTCGTATGATTACAAAAAAATCTCTTACTGAGAAACTAGGATAATTTGTTTTTAAACTTAGCTAGCGTTTAGGACTACCCTCACCGTCGTATGGTTAACAGTAAAAGTTATTTATGTCTATCTATCTATAGAAAAATCTTCTATTAATTATAATCATATTGTTAAACCTGTTCGTAAAAAATAAAATATCTAATATTTCCACGAAATTCAAAACAATTTTTATTTCATTATAAAGGCGTGCCAGTATTTTATGTACTACTGCATATGCATTCTTGATACCATTTTAGATGTTTACTTCGTTCATGCCCACATTCAGGCAATTTATACCTATCCATCTACATTGAGAAGGTATAAATCGTATTTATTGAGTGGCAAATGGGCATAAGAAAATACCGTCGGCGCCAGACGGTTGTTGATATCAAGCTATTTGGTACAGATCTGAGTCATGGATACCGAGTCCCGAGTTAATGTAATGTAACAGTATATTAAATAATAAATAAAAAACGAGAAGTATATAGTTTATTATTTAATTATGTAGGGTGTAACGTAACCTTTTTACTTCTTAACCTTCTTACTAAAAAATTGTTCTTTTTTTATTTAATATCGTCGTACGTTCCGATAACTATGACACAACTATTCCATTTTGCTCATAGTCGGGGAGTCCTTGGTAACCACTAAATATAACCGCTAATAAATAAATATGACGTTATTAGTAATGACCATTCTTGTCACAATACCAATAATTAATGACATTACTGTTATTCTATCCTTTACTTATCAGCACGACCTTCGCGTTAACCTCATGTGGAGTTACGTTATAAGATTCAAACGTCAAACTATTTAACCACGCCTGTTGCGCATAACTATATTTTTATTAAGTGTATGCAAAGATTGCTTCTTTAAAATAAATTTAATTTAACTTTGTAATCAGAATTCACAGGATGATATTACACTTTGACGGTTTAAAACGCGATATATATTAGGTCAACTTATTTGAATTATTTTAACTACGGCCCGACGTTTTGGATGCTTTGTAACATTTTCAAATAAGTTTAACTTTCTATCGCTTTTAAACGGTTAGTGTTTTATTTAAATGTGTACTACTCACGCAAACTACAGCATTTAAGATGATATTTTTTAAACAACAAAAATATTCTATCCCCCACCTATGTTTTATTAGTAAATTCTGCAGAAGAAGGATCTACATTCGTTCCATTTCTCTTATACTGCTAGGTAACGAATACTTGTTCTTAACTATATGTTAATACAATGAATTGGGTATTATTACAATAAGTGTATTCATTGACCTTGTTCTGACATCTCTTGTGGCAGGCGGTTGGCCTCATTTCTCTTCTCGTTAAATGAAGGTTGCAATTTCTCGCAACTCTTAACTTTATGTACGCAAGTGTATCTCTTCAATATTGACAAATGGTATTGAGAATGACATATAGGTCTACTTTCATTTAGCATTATCGGCCAAGTCATTTTTATGATAGAGGAAGACAAGCACAAGGGTCACTTGATAAAACATGCCGGTCAATACCATTCTAACTCGAAATGACAGATATATTCGTGATGTTGTGCGTTCGATGTGCCTCTGTTTTTCTCTACTTAACCACTTATATTTCTTATTTCAGATAAACAGCAAGTACAGCGAAGAGTTGGCAGAAGAATGCTTGGACTGGATCAAAGTAATCACCGGCGAAGATATCAACACTTCAGGGGATATGGACAACTTCTATGAGATACTTAAAGATGGAACTCTCCTTTGCAAGTGAGTAAAGAGTTTAATTTTGTATGTCCACGTTTGTTCATGTATCTCACACGTATAGGCGTCCTACGTTTGCTAACGTCTTCTTTAAATGTATGTGTATATTACATTTTTGTTCATTAAATATTTGTCTTCATTAAATGCATTTGTGTAATTTGAAATTATATATTAGAATAAATAATGAATAAGTTGCCCAAATTTAATTAGAAGCATATTAATAATTACATTAATATAACAAATCTAATAATATAAGTGTATACGTAAGCCATGTTACTAGTTCAATAATTAAAAGTATTTCCAAAAGCAAGAAATATACCTATTACCTGGTGTTTTATAAAAACAATGTTTACACTGTTAAAATAATAATTACAGGCTTGCGAATCATATAAAACCGGGCCAAGTGAAGAAAATCAATGAATCCAAAATGGCGTTCAAGTGCATGGAAAACATCAACGCTTTCCTTGAAGCGGCCAAGCAGTTTGGTGTGCCCGCGCAGGAGACATTCCAGACTGTCGATCTATGGGAGAGACAGAATCTCAACTCTGTAGTCATTTGTTTACAATCGCTGGGAAGAAAAGTACGTAATATATACAAATAATGTTTGTAAAAATCCCTTGTTTAAAAAATGGTTAAGTGCAATTCCATCCATGTCCGGCTGTGAAAGCACCAAAATATTCATAGTGGGTATACCTTACATATATTTGTTTTGTTTTTTTTAACCCTATATTGTTATCATTAAATCCTAGAGAACCCCAAACTCAAGGAAAACTATTTAACACGATAAAAAAATGAATTTAAACAAGATGTACTATTTTTGTATTAGAATAACGCACGTCTAAACCGAGAAAACAGGTAAATAATTAAATTTGTTACTTTTCTAGGCCCATAACTACGGCATGCCGTCGATAGGACCGAAAGAAGCTGAGAAAAATGTCCGTAACTTCACTGAAGAACAACTCCGTGCCGGCCAAGGCGTAATTTCACTACAATACGGTTCCAACAAGGGCGCTACCCAGAGCGGTATCAACTTTGGAAACACTAGACATATGTAAATTACATTATACACGTTAAACCATAGTCTGTGTACTACTAACATCTATGAGATTATGGATACAATTGGCGGGAACCTGAAAAAACGTTAGTGAACACAGATAAAAAATGTTCCATGTTTCTGACTTCTTTTTAGGCAAACCGCCACAGTCAAAAAGTTCAAGATTCGGTTTAAACCATAGGTTATAAGTAGATCTGATTAACAAAAGTACTTAGAGTCAACAGTTTAATAATTATTATAATACGTCTTATGGACCATTATACATGTTAGGTTAATTAAGATATATTACAATACATATTTTACAAATTTCTTAGAATCTTTGTCAACTACCTACCTATTAATAATCTTTATTTCTCTCGTGACGCTTTTTGTACTAGTTTTATTGTAATGTAGTACATAACTAAATTTTTAACGCATTCCAGACTCATTCCAAATTGTATTATTGGATATGTACGAAAAGAATTGACTGGTCAATTGATCTTACTACTTTTGAACGATTATATAATATCTGCTAGCATTTTTTCTTATTGTGACATATTACGATTAAGTTGTATATCAGAATGATCTTTATTTGTTAATCTCAAATTATGCCTTCATTTGCGGGTATTATCCCGAACGTAAATAAAAAAAATCAATGTGCCTTCAGAAGCCCATAGGACTTTCTAATCATCGAAGGTGACTACATAGTTTTCAAAACTATCTAAAGATTTCTGAGTCATCATATTATTAAGAAATTTAAATATTCATTCCAAGTTATATTTATTGTGTTGTTACTCTGTGATTAACCGTTGAAAATCCTCTATTCTTATAATTAAAATAATTATTATTACCTACGTATATTTTTATGATTCGGTTTTTGTAAGTTTCTTAAAGTGTAAAAGCTTAAAGAAAGTACGTAGAAATAAATAATAATAACAAAAATTGTTTCTTTTTAATCTCCATATTATCGTTTAAATCTAACGTATAGCTCAGCCATGGGTAGACACGATGCTGGTTCATGTCCGAAGAGTTAACTTAATAAATTAGGTCTAGCGATGTTAAAGGTCAGGGCACATTAACAATATCTTTTGTTATACATCGAGTAGGTACATATCACAGTACCAGCGGCCCCCTATCAAGACTTGTCAAAAAATATTTGATAACCTCCCTACTACGCTTTCTAGAACTTTAATGGTCGTCTTAAATGCGATTTAGGCAATATGATGTTCGTTAATAAATATTATAAAGAGTCAAAGTTAAGTTACTAGTTCATTCTCAGTCAAACTATTTTATGAAAAACTTTCTCTTCATATACCTATTATAATACGTGCGATTTGGGAGTCTCTACACGAGAGACAGTGTGTGGACTTAACGTTATAAAAAACCCATTCAATATTTGAGTTTTTGCCTTTGAAACTAAAAAAAGAGTGATTTATTTAAATATCTAATTAACTTAACTTTTATCTCTAAACTTTAACTTCAGTGGTAAATATACAGGACAATATCACGAAAAGAGGATAAACAGAACAGTATATTAACAAAACAAAAAGATCACGTCCAGATAGTGTACATGTTAATCCTAAATTACATATTATTATTTACGAACAAGGGTGGATTCAGCTTTGGCGCTAGGAGGCACACAGTCGTTGTCAAGTCACAACAACTGTAATACAATCAATAGTATTGTTCAAGTACTGTAAGCGGCTATGGGGGAGAGGATGCGCCGCTGTTTGTGCAGAACCATGGTGTGCGATATAGACAAAGCGAGCAAATGAGCGACATAGAACGACATCGTTTGACTGTTACAGATAGCATTTTTCACTGGTCCCGCATTGCAGGAACCCCTCTTGGGGCACCCTTGGTTTAACAACAATGAACAAACACGGCTTAAACGTCCCGTTAGTGTTAAAGGCCTTATATGCTGTAATCAATAAAAAAAAAAAATGGATTTCTAATTGGACGATTTCATAATGTCTTTTACATATTATGATGGTCCATTTCTTGCTTCAGTTTCAAAAATAGTCTGTGTCCATCGTGTGACCATATTATTTGTTAATTTGGCTTTATACTCTGTAAAAAATATTTATTATCAAACAATGTGTCAATGTCAATGTTAATGCAAAATAAAATTATTTGAAAAATATGTCAACAACGTCTGTCAAAACTAATAAAGGTATGTGTAGATATAATAATTATGTTAAAATGTTGAACACAATGAATATGTTTTTTTTTCAAAAATGAAACGACATAGTTGCTAAACTTTTTCTATTTTTATATGTACATATATTCATACAAAAATTTTCGCTATAAAAGAAGTCGACCCGTGCGTAAAGATTTCCCAAATTGTATGATTAGATTTGGTTACCTTGGGTCTGGTTTAAGAGATCATCTTAATCAGACCATGGACTAATAAATTGTGATGACGCAGTTAGATGAGGCGTTTTCGAACGGTTGGGCGATCGACACAGCGCCTGACCTGAAGAACTGTGATAAAGACGTAAGTGTGGCCCCCCAGCAAAGTTATTTGTTGTGATAAGAATGTCCTCTGTGACCTGGCGCACGCAATGAATACGTTTTATTCCTGTTTTATCAGACGTCATTTCATCAATGTTTTTAAAGGCACTTGGTAAGTAAACATGTACTTACAGCTATAAAATTATTAGTTCAAGATTTATTTCATTAGTTCCCTGTGACACATGGAAAGGTCTTTCAATCAGGTAATTATTGCATTTTCCACTAACTCTCATCTTCCAATGCTTGATTTTTATTTATTTATATTTTAACATATTTATTATATGTTATTTTATATATGTATTGTTATTGTGTTTGTAGTATTTCATAAAGCTTAAATATAAAAAATGTTATAGTTACTAGTACCACAAAAAATAATGATACTTTTGTCCTTCTCACTGGACTTGGACACTTGATCCGAATGAGTACATATTTTAAGTAGTTAATTTTATTTTAACTACTTATAAAATGTTTGAAAACTTTAATATTTTGCAGATGTTATTGTCACATGATTGCACCATAGAAATTAAAAATCGATTATAAATTGAACAACAGCATGGAACACTGAGGATGCCGGTTCGAATCCTGCCCAAGTCGTAATTTTTCTCTTACATTAAATATTTTTTGCTTTTTCATACAAATTTAATATGAAATAAAATTTTGATTTTAAGTCAGTCAAATATTTTTTTATTTTTTTTATTTACATATATGCACTGTCAACTGTGTTATAATAGATTTATACAGTATACATAAGTAGGTTGATATCTATAATAGTATCCTATCATATTTATTTTGGTATATTTGGTAAACAGGTTATCAACATGTTAAACATTGTGGCATAGCAACTTAATTAGATTTTTCTAAAATTAGAATAATTACTTATGATGTGCAATCATACTATACATGTATAAGTTGCTTATTTTTTAATACATAGTTGCCAAAGCTAAAAAGACCATATCAGTTGTTATACATGTTTTTACTTTTAATATTATATTTTGCCTTTAGTAAAACATTACACATTACTTTCGATAATTATTAAGTGAAAAATAATAACAGTAATCACAGACTTGCCTATAGATAGCCTCCTTGAAGTCACAATAATTTAACGGAAAAAAATATGTTATGTACATGACTGTGTGCCTATCGGTATCTGTATTCATTACCCCCTGGCGCGGATCATTGCTATCAAAGGGTACTCAAGATTGACCTTCGGCCCCTGTCTGTTGCCGATAAGCACGCCTATAAATTACTTGAATGTCTCAGAACGCACCATTCGTTATTGGACGTCTTCAGAGCATCCGTGTAGTTACTATCCGTTATCATTCACTTCATTTTCTTATTTATCTAAGTTTCAAATGGCTAAATTCGTGAATTACAGTGATTTTCTTTCTCCCAATTAATATAATTGTGTGTTTGTGTGAAGTATAAGGACTTTACTTTTGGAGACTTTTGTATTTAAAATTAATTCTGGGTACTATATACATGTATCAATCTACGAACAGGCTTATCCAAAAAATGACTATAACTCTAATGTACCGCGTCAATCCCATTTACTATTCGGACTACTCGGATACGATTTAAAATTAATTTTTAAACCGTCTCAATTTAAACGCGCCCTCTGTTATTGGCTCTACAATTTTGAATACTACAAATTCGGAGTTTATCCAAAAGACGTTACCTGACATCGGCAGAACATCTTACCGATTTGGAAAGATTTTTCTTTATTATAATGGATATCGTTGCAAATGTAAGTTCAATACTGTATTGTGATCGAAGCAGATAGAAATGACTATCGTCAGCAAAATTTGTAATATTTATCGTCAACACGTCTTTAGAATGGGTCGAAGTTTATCAATATTTTGCTCTAATATAATAAATGTTACGATTTCACAATACCTCTCTCATCTTAAAATTGTGTTTGTTACAGTATCACCCGGTTTTTAAAGCGTTTCTCGCTGGATCGTTCTCCGGTACTTTCAGTACGATACTATTTCAACCATTGGATTTAGTAAAGACGAGGCTTCAGAATTCATCGCACAATGTTGTTGCAACGACGGTCGAGTAAGTGCCTTAACTATTTTCATCACCTAAATGCGAATACAATCAAAACTTCTAATATGTTCTGTTATTTTTATCGAACTACCGTCATTTTTATTGCTCTAATATGAATGAAGCAAATGGATCTTGTAGATCTGGTCGACTGTTAATTAAATAGTACTATATATAAATAGGACATTTTTTGTGTGAATGTTCCTATTCTTATTTATATATAGATAGAGCATGTGGCGCTGTAGTCGTTACTTCGAGTCACACCTGTGTATAATCTTTAAATTAAATCTTACAGCGGCCGAGTTCAACCCGGCATGATTACCACTTTCGTGAACATCATACGCCAGGAGCAGATAGTTGGATTATGGCGCGGGATGGTCCCGTCTATAGCTCGATGTGTGCCCGGCGTAGGACTATACTTTTCGTCCCTCCACTGGTTGAAAACCAAATTGGGAAAGAATAGGCAGGACCTGGCTGCTGTAGAAGCGATTGCATTAGGCGTTATAGCAAGGACTATGAGCGGCGTTGCTTTGATACCGATCACTGTTATTAAGACTAGGTAAGATTTAATATAATACACAAATCAATATACTGATTTAATTGAAATTATCTTTTTTTAATATATATTCATGATCACTTATGCCCAACAAAAAAATAAACAAAATACAAATTGAAATAAACATGACAAATTACATTTATTAATTAAAAATGCACAGTAAAATGAGAAAAGTGGTCGGCGTGTTCTGAATTTTAAATAGACATATTTAAATTTTCCACTCTTTACAATATTAACCTTCTACTGATATATCTCACCTTATTTTACACTCCCAAACTTATCTAACGCTATGTCAACAAATGTATCTTCAATGTAGTCACAAATTAATCAAATATTTGTGAATAAGCTGCGATGCTTTCTTTGTTCTTTAAATTGCTGCGTATTAAGCTACTTTGAACTGTATAATATTTTGTTACATGTTATACAATTGTATTTAAATTAATGAATACGTTAGAAAATAAAGGTCTGCGTACTATTCAACTTCTATTAAGGTAGCTAGTTACAAACTTGAATTTTCTTTGTTACAAAATTGTAATTTTCCTCAAATAATGTGAACATGTAAAAAAACATTTTGTTTGTATACAAATAACATTGAACAGTAATTCGTAATTTTATTGATATAAAATGTTTATAGTGCTTGTCTGTTTTAATTGCACATATGGACTAGATGTTGCTATAAATGAGAAGTAATTTTTTTACATAGGTTACAATAGTATATAAGGTGAGGCTTTAATTAAGGGGATATAACAATTCTGTCAAACAACAAACAATCTGCTTACGCCATTATACGCGTCTTTACTAGATAAGGGTATCTTACTTGTTATGAAAACTACAAATGCTTTCAAATTTATATTATGCAAATTACATAGTGTATAATTGTTAAACCATTATTAAAATTTACAGATATGAATCCGGCGTTTACAAGTATAACAGTGTAAGTGGTGCACTTAAAGCTATATACAAAGCGGAAGGAATTAGAGGTCTGTCTTGTGGCTTAGGACCTACGTTAGCCAGGGATGCACCGTTCTCTGGGTTATACCTAATGTTTTACACGCAGACAAAGCAGGCTGCACCAAAAGGTTGGTAAAAATAAAATTTCTAAATAATAAATATCCGTAGTCTTTGATTTTCTATACTCTATGTTTTCATCAAGGATAAGCAGCTGCGCGCGATCGATATACGAAAATATTATTGTTGTCTGTATATTATCTCTTTATATCTGAAACAAATTTGAGATATTTAGATTTTTTATAGGTGCCTTTTATTTAACATTACAAAACTTGTTTGAGAATCTTATATAATGAAGAATATAAAATTTCTTTCTACTTCAATAATTAAACTCAAACACCTAAGAAAATAATTACGTGGGCTTTTAGTTCTCGTTCATTCTTCAATATAAATTTCAATTCAGATAACCTATTGGAATGCCTTATCATTATACAAATTAACTGCTCAAATATAGAGTGAGTTAATTACGACTCTCCCATATCTTTATATTTTCATTTGTTTTTACAAATATATATTGACTCACCATTACATTGTTTTATATTGAAAACGCGTGCCTCTATTTCATGCTCCACTTGATAGCTAAGTGTTGTTGATCGCAAGCCACTTCTATAATTCGCAGGGTGGATCTAAAATAGAAGAAAGAAATGGCGACGAACTATTGCCAGTTTTTCACATTTATTCAGATACCACTGTGAATTAATGATTTTTCAGTTCTAGAAAATGTATTTTGAACTTGATTTCAGAATGGCTTCAATCACCCACTGCAGCTAGCGGCATACATTTTACGTGCGGGATAGTAGCGGGGATCGCTGCATCCCTTGTGACGAACCCAGCAGATGTTCTCAAAACGAAGATGCAATTATATCCAGATAAATTCCCCAACGCGTTCAGCGCTGCGATGTATGTTCACCAGGTAATTACATAGAGAATACATATATTAAATGAATTTATAAATTACGTACGATTATATATAAAACGTTTTTAGTAGGTAGGAGGCTAAGGTTGCCTGCTAATAAATAAAAAGCTGACTAAAAAACTGTGTGGTCATATTGTTATTCATAAAAGTAAAAAATTACTTTAACAAATCTGCAAGTCTTGGAACACTTAACTTCTAAGTGAAATTGAAACCATTTTATTGCGCAACGTTTATCGTAGTTCGAATAAATTTATAAAACTACCCACATGGATCGTAAATAATTGTAAGAAGTATTATTGGTAATATAAGATAGTCGTCGCTGTGTACTTTTTCATTATATGTTTTAAAATTTGTATTGTCTGCCCAATTATTCAAAGATATACATACAATTTATTGTGTTTAATAATTGAGCACGAGTCGCAAATATTTTTATCCACGAGCGCAATTACTATCTGAGGTCTGCCCTCTGATAAGTGACATCTTACCACACTGAAGTTCAATTAAGTTCAGAAGTATCAATTTGCGATAGGGTTATTCCTTATTTCCGAGACGTTTCAAGTCACGAAGACTGCCTAGCGTCTAAACGCGAAAATTTGCTGGCATACTAAATTACTAATAAAGTTCGGAGAATTTTGAAAGAAAAAAATTATTTTGTTTGGGCTTGAGTTTCCAAATAAGGAATTTTTAAAAAAAAATTTTCCCCCGGGTTCGTAGACAAAAAGTTACTCGTCGCACTTCACTAAATACCAAAATTTTGTCGGGGTTTAAAAAAACAAACAAACACATTTTGTATTTAAATTATTTTTCTTGTCTTTCATTATAATCAAACTACCATCTGTCTACAAATCACGTTTCCTCAATTCTTTGCCCCAAACAATGACATTTAATTAAACGTAAATATGCTTTATCTATACACGCAATACACAAACGATAGAGGTAGTGATTTGTCTAACCTCTAGAGATAATTTATAAGTATGTATATTGTTAAGTACAGTCGTCGAGGTCTAATTATTAAATTATTTTGTTTCAGACTTATGGCTTTCTCGGATTCTTCAAAGGAGCAGTTCCAAGAATGGTCCGCAGAAGTCTGATGGCTGCAATGGCTTGGACTGTTTTCGAGGAAATAACTAGATCTATTGGCTTAAAATAAACATAGCCCTGTCTATTATATTAAACTTCATACAAAAGAGCGGTAAATTTATTTTTAACCTATCTACAGGTTTTGATATATTTTTAAATAACCTTTTTATTTAAAAAAATGAGCACGTTGATGTTCCTGGATATTTCGTTATTTTTTTTGTAATTGGATATATTTTATTGTTTTGTGATGTGTTTTTAGCCACTAGATTTGGTTAAGCCAATGTTAAGCATAACTTAATATAGCTGAGCTTTGTTATAGTATAGCGTAAAAATGTGATATTGTTGTTGATCAATAAATAATTATATTATTTGTTGTGTGTATTTGGTTCGTAGAATGTTACCATCGCAACAAAATTAATAAGCTGAGATAGGTTTGATTTAAGTATGGTACAATTATTATATAAACACTAGGTATTTTCTTTATCAATTATTATCAGATCCAAGGATGTTAGTTTAATAAAATTACACAGCTGTAATGAAAACAAATGTATTTTACAATATTTACAGAACCTTGTTCTAACACATGTTTTATATAAATTCAATACCTTCAAACTTAATGTTTTCCACTAAAGTATCATCCAATAGTAATAAGCCATCTACTGTAAATGCAGTGATGTATGTCTCTGTTTTTCCTTCAAACTCTGTTGTTTTCAAAGCAACAATTGCTTCATCATTAGATCCAGGTATAAACTTGAATGATGAGAAGCCATACTTTGGTTTATGTTTTGTTATCTAAAATGAAGAATTAAAATAATTCAACATTTCATTTACAATTAACAATCAGGGGACTAATATTTGTACATACTAGCTATACTAATTATGAATTTTATATTTTCTATACAAATTAGACTAGTATATAACATAATAAATGCTATATATACATTTTTTCATGAAAACAAACAATGTTTACTGACTAAGGCATCCCTTGGCTTTAGGATATGCACAAGAAGACCCTTTTTGAATTTGAATCCTGTAGAAACTACAATGTTTACAGAATTAGATTTATAGACTAATAATATGTATATATAAAAATTCAAAGCTTTAAAAATCCTATACCTGAGTAGCTTTAACGCTGCTAAAATGGGAATCGGATGTGATCAAATAGTTGCATCCCATAAGTTCATCTCTTGTCTCATTATATGGTTGATGACTACATCTTCGCGGCATGAAGTACCATTTTTTATGAATTTCTGACCACATTCCAGATTCGTGGATCATATACCCAGGCCATTCTATGCCTAAAGCATGTCTAATTATTTTATATTGATGCACCCAATTCAGATGTTGAACCTAACAAAAAATTAGTAATAATATAATAGGAATTAGTAATTATAATTTCTTCTGATATATATGTTTCAAACTTTGAAAAACTTATCAAGACATACAGACACACAGACCATAAGTTGCACCCAAGAATGGTTTTATATTAAAAATTTAAAATAGCACTCCATTTGACTAAAACACTACATTTACTAACACAAAATTTGTTGAAAATATTAAAGAATGCTTTTCAGTTATATTGTAGAAATCAGAGTACCAACCTCTCCATGGATATTTATAGCTTTAACCCACATAGGGTCATATGTTTGGAATTCACCACTAGCAGTAGTCCATTCTTTTCCCATAGATCCCACATAAAGTATCTCGTCCTTGATTGTTGCCCACTCTGACTTAAACCCTTTCTCATTATTACCATTGCCATCAGACAGAATTACCCATGGAACTACTCTGTTATTAATGATTTCAAAGACCTGAAAAAATTATAATATTTTAGAACTATCTTCTTCTGCAAGCAAATAGCATAGCAAATTTTTATCAGTACTGTATAAACTGAAGACTTTTACTGGAAATATTTGAATTCAAGACAGGAATAATTTCCATTTTTTTTCTAAGTATATTGAATGTACAAAGTGTGAAGTAATAGTATTCCAATAGAAAAAGACTCTACTTACCATACCTGACCTATCATCAAATGTTAGTAATCTTCCATCAAATGTGATTAACTCAGATAATTCCATACCTCGTCCTTTCTGTGAATATGTTGAAGACAACATGACATTTGGTGTCTTGTCCCATGAAACTGTCACATATTTTGCAGCAAGGTTATAACTTAAATGTCCCTTCTTCAGGTAGCTGTTAAAAGTGTGCGCCTTAGCACTACTCTTAGAGTTTTTATCGAGATCAGCTACAACTCCTATCCTAAATGTAATAATATCTCCGGAATGTAATACAGGCGAAAGTGGATATGTTGCATTATATACTCGTGAACTCTTAGTCCAGTGATGTAAAGTTTGTTCATTTGTCCACCAATTGTAATAGAATAAAACTAGCAAAAACACTCCTAATAAAATAATAAGCAACATAAATTGTGGTTGAATTCTGACAGTATTGCCTACTCGATACGTTGCTGGAGTCTTGAGGGCTTTGCGCCAATCTCGTAGGCCACGCATTTTACGATCATCAAACTCGTAATAGTCATTCATACCTTTTTAATGGACATTAATTCATTATTCTTCTAGTGTGTTGAATGAAGATATACACGTCATTTCAATTTAATTGAGTGATTATTTAGCTGATTTAAAGTATTCAGTTCACACATTTTCACAATTTTGGTTATAATACTAAAAATCCACGGACAAATTAAGTGCAAACACCTAATATTGTATGACAGATATTTTCAATTTTGGCACTTGAAGTTTGAGATGGTACCAAAATACATGACAAATCACCATGTGTTATCAATCGTTGTCATCTTGTCAGTTTTTTAAATATCATTTAGACAGCTTGGGAGTAAGGTGGCAAAAAACTTATAGCAACGTTACCATAGATTATCGTGAAGTTTTTTTCAGATAACCGTTTAAAGGTTTTAGTTGTAAATAATTAGATACATATTTATTTCTTTTTTTTTAATAATATAATATAAATTTTGATTTTTAGAGTAATACAAATTGCAGAAAAATACATACGGTTTTTTTTTCAAATGGTAATAATATGTTAAACAATTTTTTTTTAATAGTTCTGTTGTCTATTAATGTCACAAAAAACAGGATTAATTTAATTTAAAATATACGGGTAAAGTATTATCAAAAATATTTCAATAAATTATAATAATATTAATACTAACTTTTTTGAAAATGATGCACGGTGAATTTACAAATGTTTTGTGGTATTTAGAATTTTTCGCTTTTGTAGGAGCGTTATCAGGATTCTTTTGCTTTATATTTTATTTAGCAAAAATAAATTACGTTACTTACAATGTTCAACATGATTTGCGTCCAAAGTGAGAGTTTAAATTTCGATAAATACTTGACGAATTACATTATTTCATTAGGGTGAGATAATATAATAACTATTATATATTCACCAGATATATGGCAGACGGTACGTGGTTGATACAAAATTAATAAATGCTTACCCCAGAGACCAAGATTAATATTTTACTGTAAGTTTTTTATTATTATTCTATTGCTGTTAAAACGAGGACTCGATTTAATTAAAAACCATTTAATTTTACTATTAATATAATTTAAGGCGCATAAAGAGATATAAAAAGAGTCACTGTTTAATAAGTGTAAAACTTACCTAATATTTTTTCTAGGCATCAAAGATTGCCACCCAAAACAAAACGTAAAAAAAGGGAACCCAGTCAGAGGCCAGTTTGCTGTGATTTAGGATGTATTTGGTTCCTTCGTCTCATTGGTAGCATTACCACCATTGCGTTATGTTATTATTTTGCCTACACATTCATATCCGATACTAAACTTAAGTTTGGTTTATTTGTACCATAGATAATATATGAGCACTTAGTAAAAAGTGAAGAATTCGAAAATAGTTTGTTTTTCTTTTTCCATGCGTTATTTTATGACGGTCATTGTTTTTTTTTTGCATCGATAATTCTCCTATGATAGTTTTGTCCATATTAATTTGTCAGTAAAACTTGTTAATCATTTACTAGCGACCCGCCCCGGCTGCCATGCTGATACTAAATACACTACAGAACAACAGTGAGCATTGTATATAAAAACCTTCCTCTCGAATTACTCTATCTGGTAAAAAAACGCAACAAAATCCGTTGCGTAGTTTTAAATATTTAAGCGTACATAGAGAAAGAAAAAGCTACTTTGATTTATACCTACTATTTACGAAATTCGAGATACCAACTAATATAAATTATAAATATATATTACACCTATAAAATTCATTACTACGTAATATTATAGTTTTATTAATATAAGAGATAACAATAGAATATCTAACGAGAAATTGAAAAGTTTTAGTAATCATATAGGTACATACTTGTCTTTATACCTGTCGATTAATCAATCAATGAGGCGAGATCAAATTTTACTTTCATTACCCTTTCTCAGTCAGACTTACCTAATAATCTACCAATCTGAGTCTGGTTTAGTTCAGACTTTCAGAATGAATTAGAGTAGGAATGCTCAGCAAAATAATGTGATTTTAAACGAAAGTGAAAATTAAATTATAGCAACAAATGTTATTCAATTTCAAATTTCAACTGCATTAATATTTACTTATTATATTTTAAGTCGTGACTAGTTTCTTGCTGATCATTCTTAATCTAAAATTAATTAACGAAATAAGTTTCGTAGCAAGTTGAACGGACACTCTTAACTTAAACGAGTGAACAAAGCAGATAATATGTTTAAATAATTAAATGCTTGACTGATGTATGTGTACATTTTAATCATTCACATTCTAAAGTTCATTATGTAGATGTTAATGATTGAGAAAATTCGATGAAGACGTGTTGAATACGCAGGAAACAATGTGGTCGTGGGTCCCACTCTTGTCACTAAAAGTGCTTAATCTAAGGTTAACATTATGTATGTATTACTTAATTAGCTTAGAAAACTATTAGTTTTAAAATACATTTTATAAGTTTATAAAAATATTTGGCTCAAGTAACAATTACAAAATGATAAGGACAGTCAAAATTAGTAATTACATAATTTTTTTCTACTTCGTTATTATTTAAAACTGTAAATTCACCTGAATCCGACAATAAATCTGAATGCTTTCTCCTTTGTTTAAGACGCGATCTGTATTAGTTAAACTTATTAAAAAAAAATATTTTTAACTTCGGCCTGACGTTTCGGATGCTTTGCAGCAGCCGTGGTCACGGGGAGAACAAAGATGGAGGACGTCTGATGTCCAAGTAAAAAAAAAATGTTTTATTTAAATGTGTACCTGGCTTAAACTACATACAGTATTCTCCTTACATTTTAGTTAACAGATTTCTAGTGAGCACGTGACAAAAATAAATATTTGGTCTAGTCGGGGTAAGATTTTGGTTGTTGGAACGAGTTCAATTCTTTGTTTTAGATTTGTTTGACCTCATGTTTATACTTAAGGCTACTAAGTGAAAAGGGGCGGATGTTATATTGATAGAGTTGTGGTTAACTTTCTACTTAGTAATAACATACATAATTATCACAAGTGCAAATTATAATCATTTGAATGAGCATAATCGGAAGTATGACTTATTAAACCATAGTGAGAAAAAAATATTGTGCGAATTGAATGTTTCGTAACGTCCAGTTTTCGAAAGGATGCCGGCAGTTAATACCGATCAGCTGTGTAGATTTTTCTATAACACATGCCGACTTTTACAAAAGCATTGACCACATTCTTAATCTTATTATTACTCGACTTATAATCGGGCGATATATAGCCATAGCTCTTTATTTATAAGATTAAGCTATTTATTCTGGTTCTACGTTAATAGGGAAATAATAAAATCATTGGATCGCCGTGGATGCTAGTAAGAGATTTTTTTCTGTAATGGAGTTTGTTAAATGAAAATTGATTAGAATTAAACACTTTAACGGTTTAAAATGCGGTATGTATTAGTCTCCCCCCCGGAAGTTTCCCCGTGAGGTCGTGACCACAGCTGCTGCAAAGCATCCGAAACGTCACACCGTACTTAAAATAATTTTCAAATAAATTTAACTATATTCAATCTGAATATATATCGCGTTTTAAACCGTTAAAGTATTTTATTTACACGTGTACTACTTGCGTAAACTAAATATAGACAGTATTCAAAATAGATTTTAAATTTATATAATACTAATAGGTATTTGAGAATACTAAAGTTTTCAAAGTAAACTATTGTTATTAAAAAACTAAAATATAAACTTGATGATAATAATGTTTGAAATCCTAATCTAAGCTGATTGCTTTTAATGCTACACGTTCACTTTTTCACGGACTCGATTCCCGTAGAGTCAAACATATTTGTTGATTAACTGAAAAATTTAATTACCACCGAATTCCGACCGAACCACATTCCACAGATGGAAAAACCGTGAGTGTAAATACAAATGTCTGTAAAACTTTCTGGATTTTCAAAAGTTGTAAACGAAAATTAGATGTGCGCACGCTTATTACATGTTATGGAGTTGGGACATTTCACTTTTTATCAACTGGATCTCGAGCTCGTCTGCCCTCCTCTATCGTAAACAATCCGACGCAATCATATAACTCAAAGTTAAATGTGATATGATTAAAGAAATCTCAATTCCATATGCGTGTAAACATGACACACGCACCTAATTGTACTATGCTCTAATTAAGAGATAAGACACGCATTAATTTAGATACGATGCGATACACAAAAAACTAAAAGCCTTCACATTTCAAACGCAAACTTCTTATAATTTTCTTCGTTGATACCGATCTCGGATTTTCGCTTTAACAATGCTATTTTTATAATATCGTTAGGCATAATTAAAATAATTGATGTAGGTACTGCACTTAATTATGATACGGTCCAATAAAAGAGAATTGAAGTACCTAACACGCGTAAGTACTGTATTTACGAGTGGTAAATAGTAGGTACAAAATTAACTTTACCGGCTCGTAAAAGGAAAGCTTCTTTATTAGCCACACCTCGACTCTCATAATCTTACAACAGTTTTGCTATCTGCAAAGTTTACTTCAGTTAAGGAAGTTACCTTAGTACCAAGTCAAAGGGAGTTAATTTTTGAAAATTAATTTGTACCTATCGGACACATTTCACCTCTCTCATAGGAGATAGTGCATTAGGACCCTTGACGCTACTAATAATGATCAGGAGTGAAGGTTTTACGTGCTCTCCGAGGAACTAGCCTGTTGACACCTACTTCATATCTTCGGGATGGTACTAGATATTATTTGTTATCCGAAATCAAATGCTAAAAAGGAAATTAATAAATAATGGAAACCACTAATTATTAAGAAAAAAAATTATTCTAAGAAAAAAGTCAGGAAGGGAAATAAAACCGGCTTACATAGCGTTCCGTGGTTCTAATCGCCCTTGTCTACATATCAATCTAAATAGATTTATGCTATGTCAAAATAATAAAGTTTTCTAAAAAAAGGCACTGTCCTTAAAATATAGTTTACTTTTACGAGTATACGAAATAAAGATGTATTACGATAAATAACAATTTATTAATAAAAATACCAGAAGAATACC